AATTAGAAAGGCTTTATTCTGGGCTTCTTGATATGCAAATAGTTGAAGCTATAGTATATGAAGTTTTATCCAAATATTTCAAGGAAAAAGACAGACACTATGGTAACTACTATTAAGTCGGGTTATTTGGTGGTGAAGCACTAGGTTGCTGAAACAGTCATGCTTTGACCTCTATTGTTATATTGTTATGTCCTGTTTTAACTCAATCTCTCCCTTATTCTTTAAAAAAATTAGTTACTTCTTATGTTTGTTTTAATTAACAGGATAAATTTAAAAAATTAGGATATATAATAGTAACTCTTTTTTATTTCCTATTAACTTGTTTTGAAGTCCTGTAATACTCCCACGATCTTGTTTTGACTAATTAGACTCTGTTCCATTCTGTATGATAGTATCAAGTTTGAGGGTATAGCCAACTACTTTGAAGGCAATAAGATTCACTAAGATGCCCATTCTGGTTTGACTATTGTCTCCTTTGGAAGTCCTGTAATGTTTACAATGCCTAAGTTTTATTGGTCTTGTTCTCTACTGTTTTGTCCAACTTTATAATATCTAATGAGATAGACAATTCTTTTTAAGGAAACAATAGACAACGTTGATAACCATTGTTGATAACCTTGTACTCTGTTCTACATCATGTGCTATGTCTATCCTTGGTTTTGACTGACAGCTTTGTTTTGCCATATTTGACTTTATTCTCTCCCCCCCCAAAAAGTAATAAGAACTAAGGAGTGATAAAATCCAAAATGTGTAAATTTTGTTGTAAAAAAGAGAGGGGAAAAAAAAGAGCTCTAACGGATATAACAGCAAGTGTGTTTAGGGGTGTTAAATAGCTGACTATATTAATGTTTTTGGATCATTGAACACAGCTGTTTGCAGTCTCTCTGTTTGAATGTCCACTTTGTATTCTTTGATACTGTGATTTGAGCAACTATTTCCAAGATGATAATATGTAATCTATTAACAGGTGATTTCTTACTGTTATGTTTTTTTTGTAGTTCTGTATTACGTGTACCCTTACACCGCTTTGTTTTGTTTTGTGTTTTTCTCTTTTTCCTCTTAAATAAAATTTTAAAAAAAGGAATCTGGGAAGCCAAGCCAGCACCTCCAAAAAAAAATCAATGTATATTATATGCAAGTTGCAGTACACCAAAATGTAATCCACTATTCTATGCAATTTACTTGAACTTATAAAATCATTTTCAGATTCTATAAAATAAAAAAATAGAATTACAGAGACTTCTCAGCACAAACCATCAAATCATGAAGCGTGTGGGGCAAAATAATTCAAGCTTTGAAAGATAATAACCTTCAGCCAAGATTGATATATCCTACACAACTGTCCCTAGAAATTGATGGAAAAACAAGGTACTTCCAGGATAAAGAGGACCAAGGGGAATTTGCAACCACCAATTTAACTCTACAGAGAATACTACAGGATATCCTAAAAAAGAAAAATACCAAGATTCCAGAAACAGTGGCAGAGAGGCCACAATGAATGGAAAAGAAAGTGAAATGAAGACAAACTGACAACTAATGACAGAAAAGGAGCTCAACAGAAATGAGGCAGAGAAGGTTGGATGGTAGGAACAGCTATTTTGGAGAAAGCAAGACATCAAAATAGCTAGTGCTGATTTAATATCATCTTGTTTTGAAGTCCCATCAAGCTTTTGTTCTTTTGTCTCCATTGGTCTTTTTTTTTTTTTTTTTTTGGTTTTAACATGTTGACTCTTATTGGATTTTAGTATATGTGATAATATAAACAAAAATTTTATACACAAGGACATTATACAGAAAACATTGTTCATTTTGTTTTTTGTTTTGTTTTGTTTTGTTTTGACTTTTTCGGTTTTATCGGTACCAGGGATTGAACTCACGACTTCCTGCTTGCAAGCCAGGTGCTTATGCCGCTGAGCTAAATCCCCAGGCCCCCATTGTTCATTTTCAGTCAGTTGATTCTAAATGCCCTGTAATACTGTCATTCTCTTGAATGGTCTTACATTGTCTTGATATGTTTGATGCTACAGTATATGAAGTTATACTCAAAAGATTTCAAGGAAAGAGACAATATGTTAACTACTTTTATGTCAAGATATCTTGTGGTGAAACACTATTTTGCTTAAATGGTTATGTTTTGACCTGCGCTGTTTTGTTGCTGTGCCCTTTTATCTCAATCTCCTTTTTTTATCATTTATTTTTGTCTTTTTAATCAAGGAAAAACTAAATAAAAATAGCAGAGTGTATTATAGTAACCCACTTTGATTTCCTATTAACTTGATTTGAAACCCTGTGTTGCTCTCACCATCCTGTTTTTTGTTTTTGTTTTTGTTTTTTTTTTTTTTTTGTCTTTTTTGTTTTTATCGGTACCAGGGATCGAACTCACGACTGCCTGCTTGCAAGGCAGGCGCTTATGCCGCTGAGCTAAATCCCCAGCCCCTCTCACCATCCTGTTTTGACTGATTTCCCTGTATTGTGTTTTGCTTGATAGTACCAAGTTCAAAAGTATAGGGAACAACTGTGAAGACAATGAGATTCATTATGACGCCCATTCTGGTTGACTATTATCTTCTTTTCAAGTCCTGTAATGTCTCCAATGTTTTGGTTTTATTGGTTTTGTGCTTTACTGTTTTGTTCAATTTTATGATAATATGATATAGGTAATTCTTTTTAAGATAGCAAGAGGCATTATGGTAACCATTGTTGATCACCTTGTATTTTGTTTTTACAGTATGTATTATGTCCATCCTTTTGATTTGACTGACTCTGTTTTGTTATGTCACATTTGGTTTTACTCTCTTCAAAAAAAGTAATAAGAACTGTGGGAGTAATAAAACCCAAAATGTGTAATTGTCATTGTACAAAAGAGAGAAAAAGAAAGTGCTCTAAAGGATATAACTGCATATATATTTAAGTGTATAAGATAGATAACCATATTACTGAGTTTTTGCAGTCTCTCTGTTTGAATGTCCACTTTTTATGCTTTAATTTTGCCTTTCTTTTTTATCGGTTCCAGGGATCGAACTCATGGCCACACACTTGCAAGGCAGGCGCTTATGCCGTTAAGCTAAATCCCCAGCCCCCACATATGCGTTAATTTTGTAACCCGAACAACTATTTCTAAGATGACAATGTGTAATCTATTAACTAGTGATTTCCTACTGTTTATTTTTTATGAAATTCTGTATAACTTGTACCCTTTTTCTGTTTTCTTTCTTTTTCTCCTTAAATAAAATTTTTAAAAATTAAAAAAAAAAACCGGGCAGGAAAGCATTTGCCTATAATCCTAGCACCCAGGAGGCTGAGGCAGGAGGACTACCTCAAGTTCAAGACCAACCTGGACTACACACTGAGTCCCGGCCAGCCACAACTACATGGTGTGACCCTGTCCCAAACATTACAAAATCAAAAAAAAGAACAACAAAAAAGATTACTACCTTTGACTCTATGCTTAATCATCCCTGAATTTGTCAGTTACTAACATACCATTATGTGTCAATGAGAAGCATCTGTCCAAAGACACAGTTTGAACTTGCAGAGCAGAATTCTACTCTCTAGACTATGGAACTCTACCAAGATAATGCCCTTCAATCAGACTCTACACACCATGCCAAACAGCTCTCCACTTGGTCTCCCTAATGCTAACTCACTACATCACTACTAGGTATGAATACCAGTGTAGAGCATCTCATTCCTCTTGTAAATCACAGCTCAGTATCAAAGTGAGGCTTAGAGTAGGACAGAGTCCTGAAAATTCCCCCACAAACAGAAGTTTTGACATGAGTGGAAGAGAGAACACAGGATGAAATAGGTTGATATAGTGCCACTGTATGTCACTAATTATTTTTCTCAAAAGCACATACATGGGCCTAGCATGATGGCACACACCTGCAATCCCAGGGTGCTGGGAGGCTGAAACATGAAGACTGCAAGCCTGCCTGGGGAAATCTAGCAATACTCTGTATCAAAATAAAAAGAAAAATTTTAAGAAGGCCTGGGATTTACCTCAGGGCAAAGTGCCTGCTGTCAATCCCTAACAGGTTTCCCAAAAAACCCACACGCAGACTAATTTACAATTTCAGTGGGATTTATAAATTACCAAGCGCTAAGAGATGCAGAACTCTGAAAGCTTATAGTTGCACATATTAAACCTAGTACAGCAGTCCAGGGATGGCTTTGCTGAACAAGTCTGCTGGAGCGTTCATTTGAAAAAAGAGCAGGACATAAGCAAGGAAAAGAAAAGCATTCCAGGCAGTGGACATGTCTCCAGTCTAAAGCCTACGAACTTCTTCACCACGGAGCCTATGGACATTTGATAGATATACACGCTTTAGAACTCAAAAGGAACACATGGTAATACAATCAGGAAAGTGAGCCAGGAGTGGTGGCACACTCCTGTAATCCCAGCACTTGGGAGGATGAGGCAGAGGATCCTTTCAAGCTGGAGACCAGCCTGGGCTACAAAGTGAGAGCTCAAGGGCAGCCTGAAACGCAGGGCGAGACTGTCTCAAAAAGACAAAACAAAAACAAAAACAAAAAAACACCAGGAAAGAACCCCCCAAAAGAACAAATTACTTAATAAACCTTAATCCAATACAACACGACAGGTAGAAGTCAAGCTGAAGGTGCTGCGGTGAGGAGCTTAGTTTGGCTGAATGAAAATAAATAAGTAAACAATTTGCCTGCTTGATCTGAGCCCACTCTACTGCCCAAGGAGAAAAAACCGGGACTAGAAAGGTCAGAAAGACAAGGGAGGGAGTGAGACCTCCAGGATGAGGGCGTACAAAGAACCAAAACCCAGCCACTACTGCCACCTGAACCTAGCTGCTACTTAATGCAGAGACCTCCGAATGCTGGCCTTTGAGTCGAAGGGATGAGACATGCCTGAAGCGACAAAACAGACGCAGTACTCGGCCAGCGAGGGCCAACAGCCTGTTGTAGGCGCCCTTACAGTCACCACCTCGCCCCCACCGAGCTCCTCAATGTCGCGAGCTGTGCCTCACCCAGCGGCTAAGGGTCTCGGCTCAAGCCTCGAGCTCTTAAGGCCAACGGGAGAGGCCCTTCGCCCTGGCGCCTCCTGTAGTGCCTGAAAAGGCCCGATTCACCCAACTCCGCAGTGGCCTTTCACCCAGCCACGATCCACCCTCCTGAAGCTTTCACGTGTGTGCCTTCTTCATGGCCTAGATTGCACGGCAAGGAAAACAGCCAGGAGAGGTCTACTTTCACAGGACTTTCTCACTGCATCAGGCGGCGCCGAAGACAGACCCATGTCTGGGGGCCTGAAAAAGGCCCCCAGAGATGGGCGGGGAGGGGGGGGGCGCTCCTTGGTCCGAGGATGTGTGGTGCGCCTGCGCAGCCTCTTACCACTTAAGCAGCAGCAGGTGCTGCTGCTGTGCCTCTGCTGCTGCTGCTGCTGCTGCTGCTGCTTATGCTGCTGCTGCTGCTGTTGCTTATGCTGCTTATGCTGCTGCTGCTGTTGCTTATGCTGCTTATGCTGCTGCTGCTGCTTATGCTGCTGCTGCTGCTGCTTGCTGCTGCTGCTGCTTGCTGCTGCTGCTGCCTATGCTGCTGCTGCTGCTGCTGCTTATGCTGCTGCTGCTGCTGCTTATGCTGCTGCTGTTGCTTATGCTGCTGCTGCTGCTTATGCTGCTGCTGCTTATGCTGCTTATGCTGCTGCTGCTGCTGCTTATGCTGCTTATCATGCTGCTGCTTCTGTTGCTTATGCTGCTTATGCTGCTGCTGCTGCTGCTTATGCTGCTGCTTATGCTGCTGCTGCTGCTTATGCTGCTGCTGCTGCTGCTGCCTATGCTGCTGCTGCTGCTGCCTATGCTGCTGCTGCTGCTTATGCTGCTGCTGCTGCCTATGCTGCTGCTGCTGCTGCTTATGCTGCTGCTGCTGCTGCTTATGCTGCTTATGCTGCTGCTGCTGCTTATGCTGCTGCTGCTGCCTATGCTGCTGCTGCTGCTGCTGCCTATGCTGCTGCTGCTGCTGCTGCTTATGCTGCTGCCTATGCTGCTGCTGCTGCTGCTTATGCTGCTGCTGCTGCTGCTGCCTATGCTGCTGCTGCTGCCTATGCTGCTGCTGCTGCCTATGCTGCTGCTGCTGCTTATGCTGCTGCTGCTGCTGCTGCTTATGCTGCTGCTGCTGCCTATGCTGCTGCTGCTGCCTATGCTGCTGCTGCTGCTTATGCTGCTGCTGCTGCTGCTGCTGCTTATGCTGCTGCTGCTGCTGCTGCAAATCCTTGCTGGTACAACAAATGCAATCCTGCGATGCTGCTGTGATGCTGGAATTTCCCAGGCCAGGGAACTGTACGTCTGTGCCTTGTGAATTGGCTGTGCTAGCTTCTTCATTGCCGCTGACTTCCTTTATTTGTTAGTAGTTGTTTCTCAGAGGAGAAGGTGTAGTGAACATGCCTGTGTTCCAGTGCTGTGGCCGCCACTCCCACCCAAAACATGAGCATACACACAAAGTTGATGCAGCTAAGAAAACTGAAATCCAGACAGCCTGGCTGGCCTGACTATTCACTGGTTTAGTTGTCTATTTGAGGGAAAGAAGAGCAAAGCGCTCACATGAGGGGATCCCTGGCCTTGTCTGGAAAACTCAGAAATGCTTAAACAGCTGGAAGGCGTAAAATTGCTTTTGTTTTGAATAGCATGCACAGCAAGAAGAGTACCAGCCTTGACATTCAATAAGGACCTTTTTTTGAACGAACTTAATTCATAATTTAAATTGTAAGTCCCTGAGGGCTGGGGGTGTAGTTTAGTGGCACCTTTATTACCTATTATGTATGAGGCTCTAGATTCAACCCCCAATAACCTAAGAAAAACAGGAAAGGAAGGGAGAGAGTGAATTCATTCTACATGGAAGAACGATTGCAAGTTCAAGTCTGGTCTGGAAAATTTTACAAGAACCTACTTCAAAAAGGAACCGAGAGGAACTGGTATGTGGTTCACTACAGAGGCTCTGGCTTCAATGGGTCATACCAGGGTAAAAAACAAAACAAGAGAAATGACAGCTAAAAGCAGTAGACTTCTATATACTGACTTAGTCAATATATAGACCTCTTTTTTTCAATGCACTTCAAAGAATGGAGCTTTGGCTGGGCATGGTGGCACACATCTATAATCCCAAGCACTCAGGAGGCTAAGACAAGAGGATCATTGTGAGTTTGAGACTAGCCTGGACTACAAAGTGAACTCCAGGCCAGCCTAAACTGCATAGTAAGACTCTGTCTAAAAAAAAAAGAGATGGGATTGACGAAGTATTTTATGGATCTTCCTTTTTTATATAATCCAAAAGGACTATTGTTGGAAAAATAAACTCAGGAGTAATGGTAGCACATGCCTGTCATCCTATTGCTCTGGAAGGCTGTGGCAGGAGGATGTCATATTCAAGCTTAGGTTGTGCCTTGCACTTTATAGAAAATCTTGTTTATTTTTTGTTTTTATGCTGGGAATCAGAAAGACGATTTTGTGTTTTTGTCTTTTTGAGACAAGGGCTCACAACGCAGTTCAGGCTGGTCTGGAGCTCACTTTGTAGCCCAGGCTGGTCTCGAATTCACAATGATCCTCCTGCCTCAGCCTCCCAAGAACTGGGTTTACAGGGGTGTATCACCACACCCAACTGGAGGAGTCATATCAAAAATCAGTTTTAACCCCAAATTCAAGGTTATAATCAATCTCAGATTAAGTCAAACCATCTGTAGTAGTTCTAAACCAGAGGTGGTAGTAAATCTCTGTAATCCCACTACTGGGGAACCTGAGGCAAGAAAATCTTCAAATTGAGGTCCAGGTAGAGTGTACAATGAGACCTTGCCTCAAGAAATAAAAAGTCAGATATGGTGATGCACACCTGTAATTCCAGTACACAGGAACCTGAGGCAGGAGAATGGCTATGAGTTTAAGACCAGTCTGAATTGCATAGTGAAACTGTCTCAAAAAGACAAAAAATAATAATAATAACTAAAGCAGGAAGATGACCACAAGTTTGAGGCCAACTTGTGCTATACAGTGAGTTCAAAGCCAACCTAAACTATATAGCAAGACCAGCCAGAGTGACCCATATCTGTAATCCCAGCTCTCGGGAGGCTGAAACAGGAGGATGGCTGCCATTTGAGGCCATCCTGAGATACACAGTTCTGTGTGAGGCCAGCCTGAGCTGTACAGTGACTTCACAACCTTTCTCAACTATATGGTGAGATCCTATCTCAAAAAAAGCAGCCTATGTAGTGCTAAGTGGATACATTTTCTTGCATGTTAATAAGACTAATGTTCCCTTGCTGCAGAGAATCATTTCAAGAGATAATCATCTTAGAAAACAAGAGGGAAATCTATTAACAAGAATCATGTCAGTATGTGTGTACTTTGACCCAGGCAGTCCCATCTTGGAAATTTTTCAAATAATTTAAAAACACAGGACCAGGAATATAGCCCAGCAGCACAGCACTCACCTGGCAGGCACAAGGTCATGAATTTACTTTCTGGTACAAAAATAAAGTATGTGAATTTCAGTACATGCAGTATATAATGAAAGAATAAAATGCAAATTTCCCTAATAGAAAACTGAAAGATATTAAGATCCAAAATGTATAACAGAGGGGCTGGGGATTTAGCTCAGTGGCATAAGCGCCTGCCTTGCAAGCAGGCAGTCATGAGTTCGATCCCTGGTACCGATAAAAACGAAAAAGACAAAAAAAAAACAGTTTTTCAAAATGTATAACAGATATTGTGATAATGAAAGGGAATGAACGTGCTTTCAAGGATATAACTGTATATATGTGTACAAAACAGATAACCATACTATAAAGTTTTTGTTAATTAATCAAACAGAATAGTTTGTACTGTCATTTTTTGATTGTCCACATTGGAACTTTTGATTTTGTAACTTGAAAAATGAGTTGTTATTGTTGTTGTTGTCACTTGGTATTGTGGTTTGAACTCACAACCTGGAAATTGCAAAACAGGCACTGATGCCGCTGAGCTAAACACCCATCCCCATGAACAACTACTTCTAAGACAACAATATGTAATTTATTAACTAGTGATTTCTTACTTTTTTTTTAAATTCTAAATTCTACCCTTTTTTCTGTTTTGTTTTTATTCTCTACCAAAAAAAAATCCCAATCTCTACATTTGATAGTTTGGACCAGATAATTCTACTATGTAAAATGGGTTTTCAATTCACTTTTGTTTTTAGCAGTACTAGAGACTGAACTTAACTCACTCACTTGACTCTGAGCTATATCCGTTAACCCTCTCCCTTTTTTGAGATAAGGTCTTTTTAAATTGCCCAGGCTGGTCCTGAACTGGCAGTTGTCCTGCCTCAGTCTCCCTGTAGCAGGGATCACAGCTATTTACCATATACCCAGTTAGTTGTAGGTTGTTTAACAGAATCCTTGGTTTCTATTCATTACATGTGAGTACCACCCCTCAGAGTTGGTGACAACCGAAAATGTATCTACATAATCCTCATGTCCCTTAGATAGCAAAATTAATATTAATACACTAACTGTATCTATGTAATTTTTATTTTTGTTTTTGGTTTTTTGAGATAGGTGCTGGGATTATGGTTATTTGCTACCATATCTGACTTGTATCTCTATATGTATTAGTAACAAGCAAAACAGCTACCGACAAAGACTGGGCATGATGGTATCCACCTGTAATCCCCAGTACCAGGGAACCTGAGCCCGGGGGATCACTGTGACCCATATTTGCGGCCAGTGATGGTATGTAGTGAGTTTGAGGCCAGTAAAGACTACATAGTGAGACCAGCCTAATGATTTAGCAACTTAGTGAGACCACGTCCCAAAATAAAAAATTAGACTGGATAGGTAGTATGAAGGCCCTGGGTTTAATGTCCAGTAACACAAAATAAATAGGCTGCTGCGATAGTTCAGTAGGAAGACCCTGAATTCAATTCTAGTACCACCAAACCAAAAAAAAATTACTCCCCAGTACCAAAAAAAAAAAAAAATAAAAATAAAAATAAAAGAGTTGAATGTGGTAGTGCACACCTATAATCTCAGCACCCAGGAGGCTGAGGCAGGAGAATTGCTGCAAGTTCAAGACCAGCTTGGGCTACAAAGTGAGCTCAAAGCCAGCCTGAACTTCATAGTGAGACCCTGTCTCAATACGGACTAAAATAAATTAAAAGGAAGGCTTCAAATTGATTTGTGGTATTAGATTTAGTTTTTGCTATTGTTGTGAGACAGGTCTGACTATGT